GATCGGAGTGGTACTCAGAAGGCCTGGTCCATGGCCCATCTGTTGCTCCTCTAATGGCTGATGAGAAAAACCAGTAGTGTCCCTCGCTTTTTTGGCAAGTGCATCCCGAAGTACTCCCAACCAATTCCTATCTAGGCTACTTTGTGTTCTGGCCAGTTGGCAGGCAAACATGACCCATGACAGCAAATAAGCAAATAAGAGTTGCATTTTTGTTTTTCATACTTTCCCGTGTCTGTTCTTCCATCCAGGAGATCCTAACAGCTTCTCAAACATCACTGGAATCAAAAGCCCAGGCAGAAAAATTGCTGCAAGAGCAGAGGGCCCAGAAAGTTCCAGAAATTGCAGTAAGTTTAATCCTCTACCATGTTTCTGTCCCTTTTTTCTTACAGCCAAACTTCACATTACATCAATCATGCTTTAAAAGTGGTCTTCACTGTCTACTTTGAAGGAAAAGCGTCCCTAAAGGTCCCAATCCAGTTTGGGAGGGTGGCGTGCAGCCATTTTTCTCCCACCAACAACTGTCTCTTGCAGGCTACCCTTTGCCATTTCCCGAAATGTTTTTCCTTCCTCCAGCCTTTTCTGTTTACTGGCTTTTGGGCAGGTAGTCTGCTATTTACCCACAATGCCATTTTATGGATGTGGAATGTTCCTCAGGGTGGAGAAAAGAATGGCCAAGTCTTTGTGCTTTGGGAAATCTCTAAGCCAAGAGTGCAGGTCACAAGACTGGGGTCCAAATTCAGACTCCCACGAGTCCCCAAGGGCTACGCTCCATTTCCCCTTGCCACTGATTGCCCTGCTCAGCTCTTGTAAATTCAAGCCTGTGACTTCCCTGGTGGAGCCCATCCACCTCACATTTGACCTCCCTTTTCTTCTTCTGCCTTTGGTCCTCCCTAGCATCATTGTCTTCTCCAGTGAGTCTTCTCTACTCATGATGTCCCCAAAGTACAACAGCCTCAGTTTAGTCATGAGCGGAGCCGGCTGGAGCCGGAGGTCAGACTAGATGGCCTGGGAGACCCCCTTCTGACTCGCTCTGTTTCTATGTTTCTAGTCATTTTTGCTACCAGGGACAGCTCTGGATTGATTTGATCTGGGACCCACTTGTTCATCTTTCTGGCCATCCAGGGTATTCGCAAAGCCCTCCTCCAGCACCATATTTCAAATGCATCAATTTCCTTCCTGGCAGCTTTCATCACAGTCCAGCTCTCTCACCCATATATAGTGATTGGGAATACCACAGTGTGGATGATCGTGGCCCTGATCTCCACTGAAATATCCTTACACATGACAAACTTTTCTAGTTCCTTCTCTGCTGCCTTTCCAAGTCTCGGTCTTCTGATTGCTTGGATGCACTCTCCATGACTGACAGCAAACGTTTTATGCAAAAATATGCTGATGTTTATGGCCCTGCCCCTTCTGGTTTTGGCCCTGCCTGCAATGGGAATGCAGCTTCTGAGATCTTCACCAGAAGCACAGTAGTCCCACAGTCCGGGCTGGCAGATCCGAGATGGCGTGCCTTCACACATTCTTCCTGTCTCTGCAATTTCTCCTGCCAAGGCCCAACGCCTTCGACTGGAACATCACCTCTCGATTCAGTTCATCGAACTCCACCAGTGGCTCCAGGAGAAGGAGGCGGCAATGAGGAGGGAGATCCGGCATGAGGAAGAGCTGCTTCTCAGCGAACTGGAAAGGAACCAACGTAACGGGCAAGAGCAAATCCGAGTGGCTGAGGAGCAGGTGGCCAAGATCCAAGCCCGGCTTAAGGAGCAGCAGGACCCTGAAAACTTCCTTAAGGTCAGTGGATCTGCAGGGAACGCCAGTGCATCTCTGGAGTTTGGCAATTTCCCTTTTTCTTTTGTAGGCTTGTCCCCAGATCTGTTCTAGGGCATTTCAGATTTGTCAATCAGCATATACCAGGGATGGTCAGTCCGAGGCTTGGGAGCTGCCTGCAGCTCTTTGAATTTATTTTGCGGCTTGCTGCTTCGGCACCCATGGATATTTGCTTGCCACTTGCTTAAAAATAATAGGATAATTAAAAAACTATGCAAGTATATCATACATAATATATTTTTTAAAAAAACCAACAACACAAAATACAGGAAAAACTATATATAGAAAAACAAACAAACAAACAAAAAACCACAGCTGTAGCGCCCCATCACTAGGACCATGACTAAATATGTAATATTTATACCTTTATTTCTTTCATCTTCCTTACTTCTACTTCTTTCTGCTCCTTCAAGAATGCCCCCTTCAATCCGAAATTGCACTGAATCAACTAAAGGTTTAGTGCCCTTCCTTTAAAAAAAGTATTAAATAAATGAACCCCATATATCACTACAATTCTTCTTTCTCAGTCCCATTTCTCCTTCTTGTTCTTTGCTATTATCAATTTTGCTGCGGCTACCAAATTTATTATTAATTCTTTACTGTTCCATTTCCATTTCTTTTCATAAAACATTAACACTAATGCTATTTCAGGATCTGCTTCAATTTTTAAAATTAGCTGCTTGCCAACTGCCTCCACTGCCTGTGGGCTTCAGCTTGCTACGTGCTGCCCCAGCCCACTTGCAGCTTTCAAACATGCGACATTTACCACATGTGGCTCTTCCATTGAGCAAGTCTGACCACCCCTGGCATATACTATATAAACTGAGATGTGGACAGACTTCAGGCATGCAGTATCTGGTCTTTCTCTCCCTCTCCCCCTCTTTCTCTCTCTCTTTCTCCGTGTGAGATGACATAAGGAGCTTTTCTATACCTGGCATTTGTTACACACTCCTTATTCCCTACACATGTTTTTATGGGTTCTGTAGATTATGTCACTGACATCTAATTTTGCTTCTGATTTTAAATGGCTCTTGCAGTGAGTTTCTTTAGAGCAGAAAAAGTGAGGTGGTATTTAAGGAAAACGCAGGAAAACATGTGTGTTTTTCTGTTATTCCGCTATGCTACAGTGCCACCTAGAGGTTATATATAGAAAAGCAAGAAAAGGAACATTCTTTTTGCAGTGCTTGGATCTCGATCCTGCAACAGAAATGAAACGCGACACAGCAGATATACAGACTTGTGTAGAAAAGTTCATACATAGAACTAAAGAATTCTGATTTCAAAATTTGAGGGAACTAAATGGATCTCCCAGTCCTTCCCCACACAAAACCCGCCTATGGCTATTGTGGCTTTTCTTTATGTCAGCAATGTAAATTATGGTAATTGGAGTCATTCTGAAGCCATCACGAAGTAATCAAGAATCAGGAACCCTTGCTGATCTATTGCAAATTATCCAAAATCGATCATGGGTTTCAGACCTTCTTTTTCCCCACTTAAGATGCAAATGTAGTAAATTTCTTTTTTTCTGATTATCACCTACCAAATGGCTTGTCATTGCCTATCAAATGACCCCTGTGTAACACTGTCTTTTCCACATATTTTCCAGAAGTCTTATGTTTCAAATGAAGACACAAAAAACTGAGCTGATAAAATTCTCAGCTGATGTAAAGTCTGGAAGAAATGTCAATGTTGTAGAGAAGACAGGATTAAACTTTTTAAACAATGACCTTTATCTACCAGGTTGTTAAAGAGTGAAATTTAACACCACCCATTCTGCAAATGTTAAAAATGGGGGCAGGGGAGGTAGAAGACTCAGTAGTATAAAAACCACATGGGAGGAAGTCGCAACAGGTTTTTGTTGTGCAACACTGAAGTCACCAACTAACCATGAGTGACTTAGCAAAGTGATGATCTAGCTGCAAGAAAGAGCAGTGATCATTTTGGAGTGAGTCAACAGAGGCCCTCCAAGAGGGGCGGTTCTGTTGTTCTGCTTCGCTTCATTATTCACTAGGTGGGAACACTGCGATCAGTGAAGGTTGCTCGTTCTTTAAGAGCTTCCATGGAGGCCAAGATGAGAAGCCTCTTTGGGACTGCTATTCTCCAGCTAATCCCTGCCTTCTCTTTCCACAGGACATCAAAGCCTTCATGGAAAAGTGAGTAGACCATCGGCTTATTGGGGCTCAGCTTCTCTCTCCATCTCCCCAACTCTGCAACTACTTGGCCTCTCTGGGGACATGTTCTCCTTGGTCTGGAGAGCTTTTCTGTGAGGTTGAGGTGCACTGCAGGAGTTCAGGCCTCTGCTGTGAGTCCTAGGCAGGTGCTTGGAGGTGGCAGGAAAGTGGAAGAGCTGTGGGCTAATTGGCCTGCACTGTGCCCCCTAAGCTAGCGGACTGTATCCTGGCATGATGGGAGATGCTGACATTGAAGAAAGATTCAGCTATCAATCTAGCTGGTCTCGATACAGGAGGGGGGTCCCATCTTGACCTTGGCCTTTGGCAGCAAAATGAATCCGCCCTGTCTTTCTGATGTAGCTTTTTCTGATGTAGTTCCTTCCTTTTATGCCAGAACCCGGAGAAACAAACTGGGTGAAATAACAGAAACAGAGTGAGTCAGAAGGGACCTCCTGGGCCATCTAGTCGAACCCCAGCTCCAGCTGGCTCTGCTCATGACATGCCTACCATGTGCATGTCCAGCCTATTCTTGAACACCCTGACTGATGGGGCTTCAACCACCTCCCATGGAAGCCCATTCCATACCCAATATGTTTTCTAAAAGCTGTTTGTCAGAAGTGCGATTCGAACCCATGCCCCCAGGGGAGATTGCGACCTGAACACAGCGCCTTAGACTGCTCGGTCATCCTGACTTCCTCTGAAGTATCAGATGGTGCCTGTTTTTAGGGCCCAGTGAGACAGGACAATGACTGAGGGGTGTGTGTGAGAAGCAGATAATTATTCCAAACCACATAGAAGGAAACAAAGCAGAATGATGCCTGGAGTGAGTTATACAGAACTTTGTCTCATCCACTGTTTAATTCCCCCATATTTGTTCTGCCTGTTGGTTTTCTCCCATATCTGCTAAGAGGCTTCAGCTGGGTAAAAGTCTCTGGGAAAGCAGAAGATAATGGGGCTGAACATGAAGGGCGTGGGGAACATTCAGTGGTCCTCTCCCCTCCCCACTTTCTGTTGTTAAAGTTGGATCTCTTCCTTTTTTCCTATCTGATGGAACTATTCCAGAATGCCGAATTTGGCCCTTAGCCCTGCTTCTTTCTTATGCAGGGGCATAATTGTAGCTGTAGCAAAGTTCCTACCAACATCTCCTTGTTTTCCTTATGGAGGATGTTTTGCTTTTGTAATTCCACGCATCATTTCCCATCCTGATTTTTTAACCAACAAGCAACACTCAGCCTGTGACACAACATCCCAGTTGGAACATCCGTGTTTTCCTCCGTGTCTGTGCATTGCTAGTAATGGTTATGGTCCAGTTTAAAACATGTATTAGGCTCCTCATTCCCTTGGGAAATTTAGCACAGGCAAAATGTTTAGGAGACTAAAGGAGCCTTATAAATGCAGCACTCTCAGATCTGGCCACCAGGGGGAGATAAAGGCTAGGTTATGGCATGCATGGGGATAGTCTGGTTGAATTTTAAGGCGCTCCATTGTGCAGTCACCCTGCCTCATTCGCAGATTTTTTCAGGGGAGCGAAGTGTTGGCGTTTTCCATTTGTTGTCCTCCTGTGTTTTTTTTTGCTGCCATCTCTTTTCTTAACAGAAAAAAGTCAGGGAAAAAAAAAGAAGACATAGCTGTGCAGTGTTTTATGATCGATAGTGCTAAGCCATTTGGCTGCACCCTAAAACTTGGTGGCAGGGGTTGAAGAACATCTGGCCCAGGGTGTGAAGCCTGACCTCCTTGGAGCCCCAGTCCAGCTGTTGGGGCTTCTCTGGGCAGCCACACCCCCTTCCTCTGGTCCCTCCCCCATTCCCAAATGCCAATAGTTTGCTGATTTCCTGGTCTTTCTATTTCACTGCTTTTTCCCATTCTAAAGCACTCCAATGCTTCTCAGGCCACATCAGCAGGAAGCTGAAAGATGATTAGTTTTGGTTCACTGCCTTGCTTCTTTTGCCACATGCCCCTGGAATGTGGCCTCAAGAGCTTCCCCAAAATGGGATCTGAGCCAAAGGAAGTCCAACTTCATGCCTGACCTGTCCTTGCAGGTACTGCCCCAGTGAGGAAAAAGGCTCACCACTGCCTGTGGTCTCCCGTGATTTCAACCTGGGCCAGTTTAAGGGGCCTATTCAGTTCACCGTATGGAAAGAGATGCTGCCGGCCCTGAGACCTTGTGAGTATCAAGAGTGGTAAGAAGTTACTGATGCAGTAGGCTAGGGCCAAGCTCTGTGTGAATGATCTGTGTGAATGATCACCAAGCTCCAGTGGTGCAACCATCAACCTTCTGCACCACCACCAGCAGCCCAAAAGGTGGCTGTAGCTGGAAGTGAGACACTCCTGGAGTTTGCCCTGCAACCAGCTGTGTTTGGCATGAGGAATGGCCACCACTGGAGGACTAGAACCCAATCGCCCGAGTCCCTTAACCACTACACCACACTGGATTACCATATCACACCCACTGGGGTATTCCAGAGACATACAGCTGGGCAAGAACTTGGACATAGCTGGACATCTCCTTCTGCTACAAAGATTCCTGGGAACTCTAGTTTTGTGGCTTCTGAGGAATTTAGTATCTACATTTTGAGCATCAGGCTTTCTTGCCTGGGATGTGTGATGAGATTTTTTTAATGTTTCAAGTAGATGTTTGATTTATCTCTTTTCAAATGCTGGTGAATAGAGGCAATCTCTGTTTTGGTCTTCTTACAGCTCCCTGCCATGTGACCTTGGATCCTGCCACCAACCACCCCAACCTTGTGCTCTCCAGGGACCTTGAGAGTGTCCGTCTGGAGGACAACCCGGAGGAAGAGGTCCCGGATGGGCCCGAAAGGTTCAGCAAGTCGGTGTGTGTGCTGGGAGCCCAGGGCTTTACCTCAGGACGCCATTACTGGGAGGTGGAAGTGGGGGATAAAACCAGCTGGGACATTGGAGTGGCCGCGGAGTCCGTCAACAGAAAGGAAGCAAAAGTGAAAGTCAAGCCCAGCCATGGCTTCTGGGCCATCTGGCTGCGGAATGGCAGTGAATACAAGGCCCTCGACTCTCCCTCCAAGCAGCTCTCCCTCAAAATCAGGCCCCAGAAAGTGGGAGTCTACCTGGATTACGAAGGGGGACAGGTCTCCTTTTATGACGCTGACACCATGGCTCACATCTACACCTTTTCAGAGGTCTTCTTAGAGCGCCTCTACCCCATGTTCAGCCCCGGGGTCAATAAAGATGGGCTCAATGCGGAGCCCCTCCGCCTTGTGTCTCCACGGGCATAGCAAGAACTGTGTGTCAGAGTTCATCAGACCTTGCTTTGACTTTATTTCAGAGGCAAATAGCATGGGCATGGCTAACATCTCACCTTGCTGAAGCAAAATTCTGCCTTAATATCCAGACTGCATACAAATGGCTATTTCCCTGGCTAGTTTTTCTGATCCATGCGTACTAGTGCACTTTGGTGCAGCCTCTCTAAATAAAGATCATTGACTACTTATGCCACAGGACTGCATTGGCCTCCAACTTTATGTGATCAGCATAGCATATGCAATTGTAAAAAGTGACTTTAGGTGTTTAACGTTTGTGTTTAGAAGGGCCTATGTACCGATTTGTAGAATAGATTAAAAAAAATTGTAAGTTGCCTTGGGAAAAATATATAGCAAGGGATTTAAAAGTAAATCTTTGCAAACACATCATGATAATCTCACTCTCTACCAGAGCAAAGGGAAAAGTTTGGGGCTGCTAAGGTTTCTATTCCATATAAGCAGATCAATGTAAATGGTGAATTTACAGCATAAAGCGGTGCTGTATCGTGTTTTCTATCAGTCTCCAAGGAAGCTGGTGTTTTGAAGAACATCTAAGAGGGCTGGAGGGCTGATCCCTGTGGAAGATGCACCCAAAGGGGCATGTCATGCTGGAATACTTCTGGGAAAGGGAGGGAATTGGTCTGCTGATGAGGCCTTCTGAGGAATGAGGCAATGGTAGAAAGGCATCTGCTAGTCCAGACTGGAAGGTTCTGTCCAGATGAAAGGTTGGGCCCTGTTATCAGAGGTAAGTGCAAGATTTCTGTATGTTTGAGCAGGGAGGTGTTGAACGATACCAGGGCCCCTTCTAAAAATGTGTTCCAGCTCACGGTTGTTCCATGAATCCAGTTGTTTTCCTCACACGAGTCAGTTTGCCTGTTGCTTGTGTGGAGGTCTGGGAGACACAAGAATCATTTACTGCTTCCAGAATTCTGAAGCAACCCACGTACAATCCACTAATTCATATATAGAGTCCAATTGCAGCTGAGGTTGTGGTTCAAATGGAATGATTCAGGAAATGGAAGCACGGTGCTAAATGCACCCAGAAAGCATGGGATATCTAGTTTAGGGTCTTCCCTGAGACCAAAGTTGGACGATATCCCAAACTGCTTTCTACAATAAAGTGTCCAATATTGAGTTTCCATGATGAAACTAACAATTTAGCATGGATTGCTTTGTCTTTGGAGCCAGTCTTGTGAGTTCTCCAGTGGATTCTCCCATGCTCCAATTCTCCCAATGGATGGAGCATGAATCAACCATCCATTAAAATCCCTATTCAATCCCATTGCAATGAATCAATAATCTGATAATAGAACTGATCTAAGGCAATCTCTTGGAGGCTCAGCAATGTAGATGCAGCTGCAGCATCACTCTTAGATGGCTGTGAAACCTCTGCTTACATGCCTCCAGTGAAAGAGATTCCACAGCTTCTGTTAGGAAGTTTCTGCTATGGTTTAGCTGAAACCTGCTTGACTCATTTTCACCCACTAGTTCTTTTCCTGCTCTCTGGAGCAAAACTCTCTATCTTCCACATGACCAAGCACTGATTCTTGGACCTGGAAAAGATCTGGCAACTTCATGGAACGTAGTCTAATGTAAAGAATGATCTGCCATGGTAGCTAAATAGCTCCTCCAGGTTAAGACACCCTCTGTCTTTTGAAGACCTGGTGCTCGGGACAAACAACAGGGGTGGGGTTTTGCTTTTAGGCCATGTGTATGAATTTTGCAGAGACCTCCGGCTGGAGGTGGTGGGTAAAGGCAAGGTAATCTAGCTGGACCCCTGGAAGGTCTGTTTTGAAGGTTTCAAGCTCTTGAAACATTTGCAGCTGTGCAGAAGAATGGGGATTTTTCTCCTTTTGTTTCTATGTTAGAAGAAATACAGATAGATGTGCTTTTCCTTTCCAGTCTGGGTTAGCAAACAGCTCATCTCTCAAGTCAAAAGGTGTGCTGTCTTTCCTTCTAGTAGGGGCAGTGCATGCACCTTATATCAGGGAAATCTCTGCCCAGTGGAAAACTTCTAGTCAGCTGAAGGTTCCTTGCTAGTAGGACTGGGAAAGTTTCCATCTGAGACTTTGGAGAGCTGTTGCCAGCCCATCAGAGAAGACAATGAGCTACATGGGTCAATGGTCTGAAAAGGCATCAGACATGGGAAGAGATCAGGCAATTGCTTTGGTTGAATAAACTGGCTGTGCTCAGTTGGAATCAATGGGCTGGATGATGATGATGATGATGATGATTACATTTTTGTACTGCCCATAGCCAAAGCTCTCTGGGCAGCTTACAGCAATAATCATAGAATTATACACTCAAGTCACCAATCCCAATTCTGACCAGGCCTGACCCTGCCTAACTTCCAAGATTAGGCAGGATCAGGCACGTCAGGCTATGTGGAAGCTACTGGATCCAGATATAAGCTGCATCAACTGGGCTGGAGGAAGTGCACAATTGTGTCCTTGCCTTCTTGTGGTAGCCCCTCCTGTCTCTGAAAATAATATACAGAGAGAGTCAGGAGAAGCTGCTGAATTAGGTGAGCTGAGGTACAGGTGGGACTGCCAAATACCAGGTGGAGGGACCTACTGAGAGCAGATCTCTTCTTATTGAGGCAGGGAGATTCTGGCTCCAGCTTAATGGCTTAAACATAGAATCATAGAACAGCAGTGTTGGAAAGGACCATGAAGGCCATCAGTCCAACCCCCTGCCGTTGCAGGACACCAAGGTACACCATCCCACTAAGATGGCTGTCCAGTTTCTTTTTGAATGTCTCTAGTGTGGGACAGCCCACAACCTCCCTAGGCAGCTGGTTCCTTTGTTGTATTGCTCTGACAGTGAGGAAACTTTTCCTGATGTCCAGCCTGAATCTGTGTTGTCACAACTTGAGTTGATTATTTCGTGTCTTGCACTCTGGTATTGGCGAGAAGAGATCTTGCCCTTCCTCTTTGTGACAGTCTTTGAGGGCCTTATAAAGGGATATCATGTCTCTCCTCAGTCTTCTCTTCTTAAGGCTGAACATGCCCAGTTATCTCAGTCTCTTCTCATAGGGCAATGTTTCCAAATCCCAAATCATTTTTGTTGCCCTGCTCTGGACCCTTTCTAATTTTTCTGCCTCTTTCTTAAATCTTGGTGCCCAGAACTGGACACAGTATTCCAGATGAGGTCTGATTAGTGAGGAGTATAGGGGGACTTCTATTTCTCATTTTTTGGAAATAATACTTCTATTATTGCATCCTAAAATAGCATTTGTCCTTTTTGCAGCTGCATCACAATGTTGGCTCATATTTAGCCTGTTGCCCACAATAACTCCAAGGTCTTTTTCTTTTTCAGTATGCTTAAACGATTGGGGGTGGATGAGCCAGGACTCCTAGCTCCTCTTCTTTGCTTCTGGATCAACAAGTGGGGGGAAGATTCACTGGTTCTAAGGCAGGATTTTACCTTTTCCTTTTCTGGGAAGAAGATGCTCATTGTTGTGATTACAGAAGGAGGATTTGGGGACTCTGCTTCCCAGAAGGAATGGATTTGATTGAGAATTCAGCAAAGCAGCAGAAACAAGAATGCCATTAAATAACCACAGCAGCCTTTTCATCGCTGACCCTTGGGCACCATTGCCATCCCTGTGGCAGCAAATACTGGGCAAATTGCTCAGCAGATAGATGGAGATATTGCGGTTCTCCTCTATATCCATGTCCTGGTATTGTTGCACTCAAATCCATGCTTTCAATTTAGGACCAGATGTTCTGGGTTGTATATGTGTGCTACTAGCCACGTTCTTTTTAGCTTCATACCATAACCCATACATCTGGGGCTAGAAGTGTGGACTTCCAGATTTTGAGGTGACCAACAAGTAGAATGAAACTTCAGCGTCTCTACATTGAGGAGGGAGACAAAAGGAGGAAGAGAGAAATGTAGGTTCTTCCTGGATTTCCTTCTGTGTCCTGCAGATGGAATGTTCTCTGATGTGGATCATGGCCAACCATTCTTCCCTGGTGAGCGAGTTCATTTTTGTGGGCTTCTCCAAACTTCCACAGTGGCGAATGCTCCTGTTTGCACTGGTTCTCTCCATGTACACCGTGTCACTGGCTGGAAATACGGTCATCACCAGTGTGATCAAATTAAACCCAGTCCTTCACACACCCATGTATTTTTTCTTGACGAACTTATCACTGTTAGAAATATGCTACACAACGGCCATTGTTCCCAAGATGCTAGTCAGCCTGGTATCAGGGAATGGACAGATCTCTCTCTGGGGCTGTGCCACGCAGATGTACTTCTTCACCCTTTTTGGCATCACCGAATGCTGCCTGCTTGCGGCAATGGCCTATGACCGCTACGTTGCCATCTGCAAACCGCTGCACTACAGTGTCATAATGAACTGGGGAGTCTGTGCCCAGCTCTCGGTGGCCTCATGGTCAGTGGGAGTGATGGTGGGACTGGGCCAAACCAACTATGTCTTTAGCTTGACCTACTGTGGACCCAACAAGATCAATCATTTCTTCTGTGACATCCCACCTCTCCTGACACTAGCTTGTGGAGACACCTCAATGAACGTCATTGCTGTATACATGGTGGCCCTCCTCTTCATCACAGCACCTTTCCTTTTGATCCTCACATCCTACATATACATCATCAGCTCTATTTTGAGAATGCCATCAGCCGAGGGCAGGCATAAGGCCTTCTCTACCTGTTCTTCCCACCTCATTGTGGTCTCGCTCTTCTATGGTTCAGGCATTATCACATATCTTAGGCCCAAATCCAGCTACTCAGCAGAGAGTGATAAACTGCTGGCCCTGTTCTACACGGTTGTGACATCCATGCTGAATCCTGTAATCTACAGTCTGAGAAACAAGGAAGTCAAAGTAGCCCTGAGCAGAACAATGGGGAAGAAACTCTGCTTTAGAAGACATCAGTCGTGATTGATGTTGGAACAGAAATAAGATTACATCTCTGAATTCTACAGCATGCTCCCAGTCCTGATGGCCCTCTTCAGGCAGTTGCAGTTAGTTTTATTAATAAGGGGCAACCACAATCAGGGATGTCCCAAGCCATTTGGCTGCTTACATCACCCTATGAACCTGGAGTACAAGGAAGATACTGGAAGGAAGGGGTGAAGAAGTGAAAAAGAGGACAAGTATAAACATAGACAGAATGGCAGCTTTACAAGCAGGTCTCTTTAGTTCTTAATATTCTGCAGTTACACCATGACCTATTTTGAAGAAGTTGGATGCCTCTCATTTTTTGATAAGCCTTTTCTGCCAAAACTCACATGGGAAGAAAATAAAGAGAGACATTAAGCTACACAGTCATTTCACTACACTGATATCCATCACCACTACAGAAAGACAGAGGTTCCAATTCAGACTTTGGGTGTATTCCTTGAGTCAGACCTAAATCTGGATGATCAAGTTTTGGGTGTGGCCTTGAGCTTCTTTATGCAGCTAAAGCTACAACACCAGGTGTGCTCATTCACAAGTGATTTTGATACATTCCACTTAGACTACTGGAATGTCCTTTGCATGGTGCTGCTCTTGAAAAAAATTCAGGAACTTCAGCTGGTCCAGAATTTTGAAGACAGACTAGTGACTAGGGCTAGTTCATCGCTTTTGTTACATCAGGTTCACAGGGTGCTAATCAGATTCTGGTCACAATTCATAGTGCTGCTTACACCTTATAAAGCCCTTAAGGATTTTGGATCGCATTATCTGAAAGGTTTTAACGGATTGCCATTCCTAAGGATTACATCACTATTTTCTCATCACTATTCCTTTTCCTTACTAGCTGTTCTCTGCTGTTCAGCTCAGGCCTGAATATTATAACGTAGCATTTAGGGAGGAAAATGCAACCCAGTAAGCCAGTGCCAGAGGCCAGGATGGAGAAGACCTCCACAGCCACCATGTACTTCCCCTTGGTGCTCAGGTAGGTGGGCACGAAGGACACCCACACACTGCAGAAGACCAACATGCTGAAGGTGATCAGCTTGGCTTCATTGAAGGTGTCGGGCAACTTCCTGGCAAGGAAAGCCACCGTGAAGCTGATGGTGGCCAAAAAGCCCATGTAACCCAGGACCAGGTAGAACATGAGGGCTGAGCCTTCATTGCATTGAACTATGATTGCATCAATCTGGGAGTGCATGTCCACTTCTGGGAAGGGGGGAGAAGTTGCCAGCCACACAACGCAAATGACAGCTTGAATGAAAGAACATAAACATATCACTGATACTGCCAGTCTCCTCCCCACCCATTTCCTCATGCTGTTTCCAGGCTTAGTGGCCATGAAGGCCAGGACCACTGTGATGGTCTTTGCTAACACACAAGCAACAGCAGTGGAGAAGACAAAGCCAAACAAGTTTTGCTTCAGAAGGCAGGTCACCTTCCCAGACCTCCCAATGAATAGGAAGGAGCAGAGGAAGCAGAGCAGCAGAGAGCAGAGCAGGGCGCACGTGATGCTCCAGTTGTTGGCCTTGACGATGGGGGTGTCCCAGTGCAGGCTGAAGGTCCCCATCACAACAGCTGTGACTGCTGAAAGGACAAGAGCTAAGGAGGCCAGAGCAACTCCCAAGGGCTCCATATAAGAGAGGTAAATTATTTCTCTGGGAATACACTGGTCTTGCTTCTTGTTTGGATACTGATCTTCTGGGCATAGCTCACATTGGTCCGCATCTGAAAGGAAGAAGCAATATCCCAGTATAACCAGAATACACAAAAACATGGCTTCCTCCAAATGTAATCTTGCAGTAAGCAAAATACAAGCAAGGTACTTCTTACTTGCAAGGGCTGTGATAATTTTTCTCTGACAATGTTCTCTTTTAAAGGAACAACATCCATCTACTTGTATGTAGACAACACTGAGAGGAATGACATTAGGTCTGAATAAAAAAATCCTGTGTTTTCCCCTAGTAACGCTGTATTCCTTCACTTACCCCTCTGGATTGAGATCCGCCCTTGGGCACACACCATGCAATCATAGCAACATGTTTGCTTCCCCTGTTGGATGGCCATGCTCTGCCCAGGGTGGCAGCTCTCCACACAGGTGGAATGGGGCTGCACCTGAAGGGAGCACACAGGAGGACAGGTCAGCTGCAGATGACTGCGAAAGCTTATGACTTTTCCTCTGGCTTTTGGGCAGCAACGGATAACCACTTCCCAAAAGAAAACCCAAAGTGTTTTCTGCACTGAGAATGGGGATCCAGAATTTCGAACAATAGTCATTCTGACATCAGTGTTCACCACCACTGGATCTGATCTTTTCTCCTGCAGGTAGTTATGCTGCATTCACCACGATACTCTTGGCAGTTCATCTTCACTGCAGAAGTAATTCCCTCTGCTACAGTTTTCCTCAACACAAGAATACAGGAAGGTCTTCGGATCTGGATAATAAGTGGTGCACAGTTCCGTGGCAGCAACCCCTGCTGTGGGACTCATGCTCTGCATTTGATCAAGACTGCCATATTGGTGGGGAGGAAGGAGTCTGGGTTGTTGTTTGGACCCATCACACCTCCTTGGCTCCAGCCCCTCTTGAGCTCCTGACATTCCTCCCTTCTGAGTCCCCGTTGCAACCGTGTGTGTGGGGAAGTGTTTTGCCTTGGAGCACAAGGGAAGGAGGCTGGGATGCCACCAGGATGCCACGTAGTCTTGTGAACGATCCCAGCAGCTGTGGTTCCTTCCATGCCAGGGGAGAAAGAGTGCTCCAGATTTGGAGCTCCAAGTTTCTGAGGTTGGAGGTGGGAGTCCAAAAATTCCTCTGGCTGTCTGGACTCTGTCCCCTGGTTAGGTAGCACCCTCACTTGGTTTTAAAATATTCTAGTATAATGTTTGGGTGGTGTTGCACAGATTGTTGTGCTGTGTGGATAAAAATAAAGAGAGAGAGAGAGAAGTAATTGGCCAAATGACACTGTGCAAATCTCTAGAGGGAGATAGACTGGTGATGAGCTGTGAGTGCAGTCAGGCAAAGAGGAATGCAGGCCAAAGGGCCAACGTGGGGCTGAGGGTGGCATTTCATACTGTGATTTCACTTAGCCACATCTTTAGCCAGCCTCTTATGATCAGGCACATTTGCATTACTGCTTCCATGTGCCTCACATCATCTTTGCCTTACTCCTTCTGCAGTCATAACAGAACAGTGGAGTTCTGCCATGTCTCATGCAGAGATTCACTGAAAAGAAAAACAAAGAAAAGAAAAAAGGTGCGCAATCAATCAATCAATCAATCAATCACTCAATCTGTTCCACCATTGCTCAAGAAATGTGTTGATCAGGTATTCAATAAGTAACCAATATACTGGCATATTCTAATCATGTATCAATCATCCTGGGTTCCAGTGTCTGTAATATGATTAATTAATGATGCTGTTGATACCCAAGATGATGATGATGAAAATAAGGAGGAACATTTGTACCTGGTTGAACTTGTGATTCCAGACTATGGCACTTGCATTAATGGTGAATGCCTCTTCTGGAGAAACTCTGGCATCCAACCTTCTAATTTGGACTCTCTGGAAAGATCCATTGGGGAAGGTGACCAGGTTGATGAGATCATATCCCCTTGCAAGCGCCCCTTTCTCGTCAAAATGTATCTTTTCCCCAGCAGAATTGTTGAAGTGGATGCCTCTCAGGAAGCAATGCAACTAAAGCAGAGGAGAAAACATGTTCATTTGTTTGCTGGAAGGTGCTTTTGGCTGGAGGGGAAAGGGTGCTGCACCATCCCTCCCCCATGACTTTTTATGAGGGGGCAGAAGGAGCTGTCAATTAATCCCCCCTTTAAAAAAAATATCAGTCCTGGGCTTGTTTGCTTCTTTGCATTTGAGCTAACAAAAAAACAGCAAAACAAAGGCACCTTGGAGGGCCATTTCCAACTCTCTGACTTGCCCGGTCAACTGGAGGGCTGCATTGTCTCATCTCTGCCTTCCTTGTCCTTTCAAGAAAATACAGACCTCCTTGCCTTTCCAATGGTCTCCTTCCTCCTCTTTCCTCAAGGAACCACTTGCTGAAATACCTGTCTACTGAGAAGTCAATTACATTGGCTTCTGTGCCCTGCAAATGACTCACATTGACTGATTTTCTTTATTGTGGGAAAGCCAGTGTAGGAGCAGGGCTGCCCTTGTTGCTTTTGCAGAGGAGAGGAATGAGTGCTGGTCCTGCTGGCTTCACCCCATGGCCACCAGCAGCCCCACAACTTCTGCCTTGTCCCTCCCCTTTTCCTTCTCCAATATTTTTTGTGAGGGGGTGGAGAGAGCTGTCTCGTTAAAGTCTCTACTCCTTTGTTGTTTTCCACTTGCACCTAGTTAATGGACTAGCAAAAACAGTTCTCTGCCTGCAGCCCTTTTCCCACTCCTCCTCTATCTCCTGCATTGCACTTGTGTGTGGCACATTGGAAACAATGCTGCATTCATTAGCATGTGCCCCACTTGTAATAGTTCCTTTTGCAGAAATGCTGAGACTCCCAGATCCAGTGTAGATCTCCTCAAAGTCTTGCATATCATCTGCCCAGAGGTTGTGAGGATCACATCCAATGTCTTGCCTGCTCTGAAAATTATGAAGATATCATGTTTCATATGTGAAATGGTATCCATCATTTTTCTTGGGTGCATTCTTGTTTAACAGGTTTCATCTACTAAGGGCAATCAAACAGTCCAATCTTGACCAACGGGAACACCAAGGTATTGGGGAGTTTTAGTCTGAGAAAAAGGGGAGTAAGGAGGGTCATGGCAGAGGCTTATTTAGGGATGAATGGCAAGAGGTGGAAATAAAGGCCTCCCTTTGTCATAGCAGCACAATTCAGAGTCACCCAAACAAATGTTCTGGTGCAAGAGTTCAGAGGGATGAATACTAATGATGTCCTATAGCTTAGAGGGGTTTTAAAGGTGACAAGATAAAGCTGTGGATGGGATGCACACCAGAGATTACCCCTTTGCCACTGCT